AGTTTCATTTCATTTCATTATTGTCCATTCGATTTGTTCTGTCATTGGATCGATCTTCTATCATTACAAAATTGTTTGAACTTATTAAATTGTTGCGCATTGAATATCAATTTTTGGCGAATATACAAATCTAGGTTATTACAATTCTGAAATTTTTATCGTGAATTATTCGGAAATTTTTTATTGATGCCAATTGCAGCCATAGGAGTGCCATCGAGTCAACAAGAATTGACAAACATTCTTAGTCATAGAAGCGACATTTCGACTCTGTCGACTACCTCTCAGCCTTCGATATCGTCTTTGTTAATGAAAAATCATTCATCCTTGTCGATTTTGAACGACACACTTCCATATCTAAAAAGCAATACCAGCTTAGTCGAAGACCTTAATATACTGGGTAACTCGACACTGGACGATCATCATTCCGTGTACGAATCGAAGATAAAATTACCCTCTGTTTTCGATGACACTGAACCTGATACTGGCTTGATACCCATTAGTCAATCGGATATGAAAATTCTTAGGTCGGGAAGTTCCAACAAGGTAAAATCATTAAATCTCGATTGTTTAATATTAAAATTTTTTAAAAATCTCAAACTCTTAACGTAAAAGATATTAAATTGTACTATTTATTTATGTAGTATTTTTCTATTTTTTTTTTTTTTTTTTTTTGGATTAAACCTCAATTAGTTTCTTTTCAACACGGAACGTGTTATAAATTGAACGAAAGCTGTAAAAGATTACAATAATTTTTAAGTAATTTCTAAATTTGAGGAATAATTGTTTTGCTTTCATATTCGAACTCTGCGATTCGAATTCAAGATTCTCGGCAATAAATCAAATTGCCTGTCGTCGTCGAAGTTGTTCCCCGGTCTGAACGAAGTAAAGATTCTGGGCCCGAAAAATCATAGCCAAGAAATCATAACGTCACAGTATCAGGACGTAAAGCTACTTAGTCCGTACGAGCAGTTTCTGAAGAACACCGCTTCGAACACAAATGGCTGCGACAGCGGCGAACTCAACACTTCTGGTGGATGTAGGAAGGAGGTAAAGATTCTAGGCAAGAAGTTGGGAACTGGCATTATTACCAGCACAGAGGAGGGCAACGTCGTGGAAGTCATCGAGGAGAAAACTAAGCTGGTAAGTGATTCCATAATTATTTTCAATTTGTTCGCTCGCTAATCGTATTGCTCTTTCGTACATTTTTAACGCTGTCCGTTCATTTGATATTCAAACTCTGGGATTTATTGAGATCAAAAGTCTGCGAATTAATTTTCGAGATAAATAAATATTGGATATCAAGTATAAATAAATATAAGTTTTATAGTACCGAGAGAAAATATTTCAGGGTTGGTAAATTTGTTTCTTTTTAATTTTGACCTACTCAATTTGCCTTTTAACATTAAATTGACATCACATAGCGAAAAAGTACATAGTTATTCTTTTATCAAATAACGACTTTAGAATTTTAAATAAATTATTTTAGCCAACTCTATTATCGAAAGTGAAAAGTTCAATGAATGCAACGTATGGTTCTCATAATATATTAAATTGATAAAAAAAATGCAGGACTTAAAAAAGCGATGAATTTATTGATTCATCTGTAAATTAGAAATCGACAGCCCTGATTTTGTTCTCATCCTTTTATCATCAATCTTGTTTATTTCTTCGACACCAATCTACTCACATAAAACTACTGATCAACAAATACTAATCTACTCGTATAAAATTGCATATATAAAATTGTATGTACATAACACTACAAACCATCAAGATAAACAAGAACAGTTCAAAGAATATGATCTATCATTGCAACTGTAATATCAAGAATCAATTATACATACAATTATACTTACAAGAATTTAACATTACACTTTTGGAATCGCATCAAAATCTTTTCCTATATAATTGCACTTACAAAAATTTGACATTTTCGAAAACACTCTTCAATCTTTGTCTACTCAACATCTATAAAATCAACAAAGGAAACTCAACATCAAGAACCATCAATATCAGCATCTGGCTCATAAAATTCAATTTTCATCACACATCCGGAAATCATTCTCGACTTACTTTTATCCGACAAAATCATCAAAACTATCAGTTAATTTTAAACGTTAATTGTTTGAAGATGATGGACGGCGGAGGACTGTGCAACAGCTCGGACAACATCTCGTCGCTCCGATTGGACAGGCAAATCACGGAAAACGGTGGACCAGACAGTTTCTTGCTCCAAGTAAAGGAATACGATTACGTTTATAACTCGTAGATCACATTGAAACGGAGAATTATTCCCTGCCGATCTGTGTGCAGGCCTGTAGCCCATGTGACACGGACTTTTTGAATTTCGAGAATCGTTTGAAGGACACGTCGCCGGCCGGCCACTTCGAGCGAACCCAGAAGGATCCCAGGGATAGTTTCAGCTCCACCGGTAGCCTTCCCGATCTCGATTGATCGGGAATCCGACTCGAGCCTCCGTTTCACTCTCCCTGCTTTCTCGTTGAAAGTTTCAGAGACGCTCTACAAGCGGAAATGTCGCACGAGATCTCTCAATGGCTGTGAAGGATGGATGCGATTCTAATTATGCGTGAAATTAAAATTTCACCGATCCTTCGTCGCCTGACGATTTTGAAAGACTCGTACGAATATGGAAGTAATAGAATCTATTCTTTTTTTTCTTTTTTTTTTTCTCAATTTTTTAATTCTTTTCATTATAGGATTTCCGTATTTTAGGATCGTAAGATCTTGCAGAGTTTCCAATTCTTGTGATTTCGCTCTGAACGTCTTGCAGTTAGTTCGTCCCGATTTTCCTTCGATTCGTTTCAGGGTGTTTTTCGTTGACTCGCGAAACGAGAAAATTTTAGCAGAAGCGAAAATTGCGGGGAAGATACCGGAATGCTTTTAATCGATGGCATTCTAGAAAAAAATCTGACGACCTTCGAACGTTCGCGAGGTATTTATAAATTTAGAAGGAACGCTAGCGTTAGACGATTGATTGATATTTTTAAATTTTAGAATATATCTGCGCTGTGAATGATAATTTCGTTGAGATTTTGAATTTGGGTTTTCGTCGTTTGCTGGAATGGGAAGGTGAGAAAATGAAAAAAAAGGAGGGGAATGAGAGAGAGAGAGAGAGAGAGAGAGAGA